TAGTTTACTTCACTACTAATATCATCCTAGGCAATTCCATCATTCTTCCATTTTCCCATTAGTCTTTTTTAGCACAGTTGGAAATAACTGATGATTGATGATGAAATAATTCCTAGAATGATGAAATACCTAAATGCTTCAAAATATAGGGAAACTACAATCAAGATCCCATAGTATAGTTCAGATGTATAAATGGAAATTGCTAAATTGAATTTATCCCATTACAAATATTAAGCAAATTTTTCTTTGTTCTTTTGAAGACTTGTAATAAGGAATAAGTCATGAAATAGAAATCTTCAATAATTAGTACTGCTCAGAAATAAACTAAAAAATGAAAATTGAGTCCAACTGACATTAATGCTACCTACACACTTCCTATTGTTTTAAGTAGAAAATGAACAGGAAACTACTGAGTTCAATTTAAAACGTGTTAAGAATTGTATCAATATTTTCTTTCTTTTTTAAAAAAAGATTTATTCATTTATGCATACGAGAGCTGGGGTACAGGCCAGAGGTACGGGGGGGGGGGGGTAAGAGGATTCGCCAGAGACAGAGTGGGGAGCAGAACTGGCAGATCTTCTGAAATACACGGCTGAGGGGAGCAGCAGGCAAGACAGGAGAGGTCTGCTGCACCATGTGGGTCACCTCCCTGGCTGGGGATCAAACTCGTGCTGCAGTGGCTGCTGATAGCTTCATAATGCTGAGACTCAACTCCTTGCCACTATGGTTTTATAAGGTGCACTTGGAGTATTGGGGTGAAAGTTCTGTGACAATTCTTTGTATTATTTCTGCAACTTTTTTAACATCTAAAATTATTTCAGGGCCTCCCCTGGTGGCACAGGCAGTTGAGCGCCTGTGAAGCTGTCCGCAGCCTCTGCAGCACCGGTTCGATCCTGGCTGGCTGGCGAGGGTCCCACATGGCATAGCAGACCTCTCCTGTCACGCCCGCTGCTCCCTTCAGCAGTGTATTTCGTCAGTCTGCCTGTTCTGTTCCCTGCTCTGTCTCTGGTGAATCCTCTCACCCTCCTGCGCATCTGGCCCATACCCCGATTCTTGTATAAATAAATCTAAAAAAAAATAAATAAAATTATTTCAAGGGGCCTCCCTGGTGGCACAAAGGGTTAAGACGCAACCTAGGAAGCTATGTGCAGGCCAGGGAGCTACCCAAATGGCGCAGCAGACCTCTCCTGACTCACCTGTTGCTCCCCACAGCAGTGTATTTCAGTCAGTCTGCCTGTTCTGCTCCCTACTCTCTCTGGTGAATCCTCTCATCTCCCCACCTCTGACCTATACCCCAGTTCTTATATGCATAAGTAAATAAATCTTTAGTAAAAAAATAAAATAATTTCAAAGTGAGAAAGTTAAAAAACAAGTAGTAATAATAGGGGAGTAGGTAGAGAAGGAAATGATAGTGTCTTCCTAGTCTCATGGAATTTAGTAAAGATGACAAGATTTCCATAAATTAACTGAGACTAAACTAAGTGTAACTGGAAATATGCTAGCTACAGCTATAAAGAAAGCACTACAAAGAAGGAATTGAGATGGTTCTCAAGGGGACAAGTCAGTACTGTCAATTACATCACACTGCCTTATCCTATTAGTTTTATTTCTGCCCCCCCCCCAACAGACATGGGCACATATGATTTTACCACCTTTGTATCCTCCAGTATGCTTACCACATTGTCTTGTCTGTGGTAGAAACCAAATCATTTATTCATGCATGCATGTATCCTCTTAATATTTACTGAGCACATACTATATATGCCAGGCATTGTCCTAGAAGCTGGGACTATATAGCAAAAAAAAACCAAAAACCAAAAACAAAAACAAAGTCTCTCCCCTCATGAAATTTACACCATAGTGGGAGAAATAGAGAATAAGCAAAATGCTCAGAATATTAGCCAGTGATGAGGGCTAAAAAGAAAGCGCAAAGAAGGGTTTTTGAAATTTAGATAAGAGCAACCAAAGACTACCTCAAGGAAAAGGTAATTGTGAGAAAGGGAAAAAATTAGCCCTGTGGAAACCAATGGGGGAAGATTATGGGCAGAGGACACAGCAAATGCAAAAATCCTGAGGCCCATTATAAGCTTGGTGTTTTCTAAGAACAGAAAAAGGTTGGTGTAGCTGGAGTAGAAGAGGGGGAAGAGAGACTAGTAGGCAATGAAGTCAGAGAGGGTATGGAATAGGGATAGTAGGTGAGAAGCAAATCATGTTTGTTCTAATCATAAAACGATTCAGACCTCATACTGCCACTGAAATGGGAAGCCAATGACTGGGTTAGAAAGATATAAGCAGAAGTGACATGGTCTGACTTAAGTTTTAAAAGAATCACTTGGGTTTGCTACATAACAAATGATTGGTGTCCTTTTCTGGACAATGACCTGGTTTGTGGCAACATGGCCAAATGCACCAAGATTAAACTGTTGGTAAATACAGGACCAGTTATGATGCCTCCCTCAGGAAGATGGTGAAGTAAAATGAAATCTACCAACACACCAAGTACACTTTCTTTTCCTGAGGCAAAACCGAGACAAAGAGATGAGCTATGACGATCTGGCACTGTGGTCCCTGCATGAAAATGGTAGCTGGTGGTACCTGTACCTAACAGCATCACTGCTGCAGTCACACCATTAGAAGACAGAAGGAGGGCCACCCTGATGGCGCTGGGGGTTGAGTGCAGCGCTGCGAAGCTGTCCGCGGCCTCTGCAGCCCGGGTTTGATTCCCGGCCAGCCAAGGAGATACCCACATGGCGAGGCAGACCTCTCCTGTCTTGCCAGCTGCTCCCCTCAGCAGTGTTTTCGGTCTGTCTGTCTTGTTCTGCTCCCAGCTCTGTCCCTGGTGACTCCTCTCACCCCCCACACCTCTGGCCTGTACCCCAGCTCTTGTATAAAATAAATAAATCTCAAAAAAAAAAAAAAGAAGATGGAAGGAGCGGAAAGACCAGTAGATGCACCACCCTGTAAAATACTGCTAGGCTGTAATAAATGAATTAATTTATGCAACCAAGAAAAAAAATGACTGAAGAGGAGCAAAGAAAATAATTTGGGGCTGTTGAAATAATCCAAGCTAGAGAGATGTTAGTGGCGTGGACTGTTTTCAGGGAAAAGGGGGCCCTAAGAGGTCAAATTCCGGATCACATTTTGGATACACAACAAATGGGATTTGCTGACAGACCATATGTGAAAAAAGACAAATAGAGACGCTGAGGATGACCATGAGCTCTGCAAGAGTAAAGTTAAAGTGGGCCACTAGAAATGATAGTCTAGAGCACAGGAGAGGGATCCCCAGTTAAGAGACATTTAAGTTAGCAGCAGTATTTAGATTTTGGAAAGGTATATAGGGTAGCTCTCTGTAACCAAGCACATTCAATTCACATTTCTCCACCAAGTGGGGCTGCCCAACAAATTAGTTGTGGAACTACACTTACCAAAAAAAAGAATAAAAGCTCTTGCATTTCACGGCTGCAGATAGGGACTGAAGACTTGCCTATCCTGCAACAGCCTGTAAGGCAGCAAGTCTAGCCCTGAAGGATACCTGCAGGACCGAGGAAGCATCCACCATGAAGATTCTGGTAAATACAAATAACATGCAGACACACAAGACAGAAAGGGGATAGGAATGCAAAAGCAAAAGAAACAGGACAAAAGAATGGAGGAGCAAAAAAGAGGTATCAGTTAGAAACTGCCACCAATAAATGACTAACTTCAAAGCCAACTGCAACTAAACAGAGCTAGTCTCTAGCTAACAAACTTTAAAATGCCATTAGGGTTCAGCCTATAAATTATCACCTACAGTGTACCAGTATCTGGCACTGAAGCTATCAAGAAAGTTAAGGGGGCCTCCCTGGTGGCCCAATGGGTTAAGTCTCAGCACTGAAGCAGCCACTGCAGCACAAGTTTGATCCCCAGCCAGGGAGCTGACCCACATGGTGCAGCAGACCTCTTCTGTCACGCCCACTGCTCCCTCAGCAGCGTATTTCAGTACAGCTGCCTGTTCTGCTCCCCACTCTGTCTCTGGTAAATCCACTCACACTACACACACACACATACACACACACACACTTCTGACCTGCACCCCAGTTCTTCTATGTATAAATAAATAAACCCTAAAAAAAAAAAAAAAAAGAAACAAGTAAGTTAAGTCCCAATCTAGATGTACTGTGAGTCACTGGTGTAGCAACTCCTCAGGAAAGCAAATATTAGGTAGCTGTCCTACAATAAATGTATGAGAACAAAACCTTTTATGTATTTGGTTGTAACTGACAAATCGCAGTTGGGTGTGTCTTTTTAAAAAAGACCACACCCCCACCCAAAAAGTTCATAACTAAAGGAAGTCAAGGTTCTTTTTAAATGTGTTGTTAAAATACTGTTAGATAATTGTAAAAAGACAATTCGAACTCATATCTGAAAAGAAAAATGCCTATTAGGAAAACAGAATTGCTTGAAATAACTTGGAGAGAATGTAATGGCAGAACCCTGATTCAAAGACTATCCCAGCAAGCTGCAGGATGGGTTTCATTCGTTGACATTAGCCTCAACAAAAACAAATTGACAGAACTGTTTAAACTGTAACAAAGAAAAGGTGAAAAATAAAAATACTGCTATTACTTCTACCCTCACAAGCTGAAACAGGAAGGCATGTGATGGATAAGAGGTATCAGGAAATAAGAGCGGACCCTATTCACAATGTACCTTGAGACTGACAGGTAACCAGTAACACATACAAGCCCATCATTTCAACACTGCGATTCTTAAATACTTTCCAAAGCGGAAGGAAATCAAGTCTGCAAACTGAAGAGAACAGGATTCAAATTCTCCAGGAGAGACTGCAATTCACATGCCAATCACTAATGCTATTCCCTCTAACATTCCTCAGCATTCTTGGGGGGAGGGGGTCTCACTCAACGAACAATGATTCCTTCGCTCCCTCCTATTTCATCTGGTGCTCCTCACACCTGAGGTGGGCTCTCCCTCCCCTGAATCCTTAGGGCTCTGTGTACCTGAACTCTTTCAGCATTCAATCTATGCGGCACTGGAGTGAAATCATGTGTATTGGCCTCTCCTTCCAAGACAGTAAACTCTTTGGGACAAAGAATTCCGTGTCAGCCTGAGAAATTTAAGGTGGTGGTTAGTAAATGGGTGCTGACTCAATTAACCTGTAGAATCCAAGTGCCAATCTATTCCTTTAAACCTGTTTTCAGAAACACATTGTTGGTTCCATAAAAAATTACCATCTGATCCAGCAATTCGACTCTGGGTATAAAACCAAAAATTCTAAGCAAATATCTACTTGAAGGGATATTTGTACACCCACGTTCATAGCAACAATATTCATCATGGCCAAAGGTGGAAACAACCTAAATATCCACTGACAGGTAAATAAAATGCCATAAGTAACAGATTAGTCTTAAATAATACGTTAATTCTGATACATGCTGCAAGAGGGATGAACCTTGCAGACATTATTCTAAGTGAAATAAGCCAGACACAAAGGATAAATTCTGTTTGATCCCAAATTCCGAGAAAGTGACATGGTGGTTGCCGGGGGAAGGCTCAGGGAGCAGTTCTTGCTCAAGGGGTACAGCGTTTCCGTCTGGGGAGATGAAGAAGTTGTGGAGAAGGGCAGCTGGTGAGAGCGGCGCGGCAACGCGCATGGAATGAACGGTGCTGGACGGCAAACCCGAGAAGGCTGAAGTACCCTGTGTTGTGCACAGAGACGCATCTCACCACAGTTAAACACACGATCGCTGCTGCTTCCCGGCTTTAGGTCGCGGGCAGCCTGGAGAGCGTGGACTCCCGACCCGGGTTCAGAGTCTGACCTCCCCGCCCGCGCCCCGCCGTCCGCACAGCGCGGCCCTCCCCGCCCGCCGCGCGGAGCCGGGCGGCCCGGGAGCCCGACGGACGAGCGCGCGCCAGCGCTCCAGGACACGAGGGGAAGCGCGTGCCATCATTTTTGTAACGTTTTACAAAAAAAAATAAAGCTGAACAAACTTCGGCGGCGGAGCTGGTAGGAGGACCGAGGCGGCCTCTGAAAGCACCGGCTGCCGCGCCGGGCCACGGCCGGTGGACTCCACGGCAACTCCCGCGGCGGCCCCGCGCGCGGCCGCCGAGCACTGAAGCGAGCCCGCCGGCCCCGGCCCCCGGACACGCTGCTCCCTCGGGAGAGAAAACCGCTCTTTCCGGGCGGACCGCGGGGTCGGGGCGCCCGCGCGACCCCCGGGAGGAAGGGCGCGGCCCGCAGCTCTCCCGACGGGCCGGCCCGGCTCCCCCTTGGGCCACCGGAGCCCCGGCCTGGCGCCGCGGGGAGCACACGCGCCCCGGGCGGGAGCCCCGCGGGGTCGGCGCGCGGCTCGCGGGGCCGAGGGAAACCCGGGCTCCCAGCTCGCCCCGACGCCGCGCGCCGCCTCTGGGGACCCGGGACGCCCCGCGGCCTCGCTCAGCGGGAGGCGGGGCGCCCCACAGCGGGCGGCCAGCCCGGGGGTCCCGGCCGCGCCGCCCGGGCCGACCCGCGAGGAGCAGAGGCCGCGGGGCGGGGTCCACACCGTCACCCCACGGCCGGGCGGCGCCGCCCCCGAAGTTCCCCACTCCGCCGGCCCGGCCCCGAGCTCGGGCCGCCGCGTCCAAGCCCGCAGCGCTGCAGCCCCGCAGGCCCAGGGGAGCGGCCGAACCGGGCCCCCGCCCCCGCCCCAGGAGGCCCGGCCCGGCCGCGGGACCGGGGCTCGGGGGGCTCCAGCCCCGGCCGGCGGGAGGCGGCGGCCGCGCCACGGTGCGGGCTGCGCGGCGCCCACGGCCGGCCCGAGGAGTCCCGCCCCTCGCGGGCCAGGGCGAGGCCGAGCCGGCGCCGCGACTCCCGGCCAGACCGGACCGCGGGCTCGCCGGCCCCGCCTCGCCCGCCGCGGCGGCGGCAACCGGGCAGGGCGGCCGGGGGAGGGGCCGCCGGGCCTCACGCCCCCGGCCGCGCCCGCCGCGCGCGGGCCCCTCCCCCACCCACGCGGCGGCTGGCCCCGCCCCCGCGGGCGCCCCGCCCCCGCCGCACGCGCGCCCCGCCCCCGGCGAGCGCCGCCCCTCCGCGCACCGGACGACGCGCCTCCCCCCGCGCCGCTCCGCCCCCCACCCCCCACAGCCACACACCTCCCGCCCGGCGCTCTACGGGAAGCCGCGGAGGTCAGCCCCCCTAAAAATACACACCCTCGGCCCGGCGCCGCCCGCCGCCCGGCCCCCCGCGCGGCCCGGCCGGCGTGCGCTCACCGCGAAGCCGCTCCGGCCGCTCCTCGCTGCGCGTCCCCTCGGCGGGAGCCTCGGGCTCGGCACCGAGGCCCGAGAGCGGCGCGGGGCACAGGCCCGCCGGAGCGCACTGGCAGCCTCCTCCCCGCCGACGAAGGGGCCGCCGGCCCCGGTGTCCGGGCGAGGAAGGAGGGAGGGAGGGAGGGAGGGAAACTCCGAGGGGGGAAGGGGAGGGGGGAAGATGGAGAAACCGTCTCCGCCGCCTCTACCGCCGCGGCCGCTTCTCTGTTACCCGGGAAATCCCGCCCACTCCCCTGGCCCGCCCCGCAGAGGGAAGATTCGACTTCGCTCCGCCACAGGCCTCACTGCCCGCCCGTCAAAGGCTCAGCCAATCGCTGGCCCCTGCCTGCCAACTGCCCGCCCCTTCCCCCTCGGCCGGGAGGGGAGGGGGAGCCGCTCACCTTCTCCACGCCCCTATTGGCGGGGAGCGTCCCTCACCCAGCCCCGCCTATTGGAGACAAACTGCTGAATCCCACCCCCAGGGCGGGACGCTATTGGAGGAAGAGGGGACGCTCTTCACGTCCCATTGGACGGCGCCGCACGTCCCGCCCCGCCCGGGCTCAGCCACAGGCCCGGCCGAGTGGCTCCCGCCCTCGCGGCCGCCGCGTCGGAAGGCAATCCCGGCTCCGCGGCCCAGGAAGGTAAGGAGCGCCGCGGGGAAGATGTCCGTAAGCGGCCAGGCCCCGCCCCACAGCGCCGGGCCGGCCCCGCCCCGCCCCGCGGATTGGCGGCCGCCGCGCCGGCGAAGGCTCCACTGGTGGCGCCGCGCGTCTGGGCGCGGACCCCGCCCCGCGCGGGAGGCAGGACCCGCCGCCTTTTGTGGAATGTTTACACTGGAGACGCCGGGCCGGGCCGGGCCGGGCCGGGCGGCGGGCGGCGGGCGGGGGCGGCCGAGGGGCCCGGCCTCGCGCGCCCGCACTCCGCGCGCCGCAGGGGGCCCGGCGCCAGGTGCCGCGCGCGCCCCGAGCCCCGACCCCGCCGCGGCCGGCCCCGGAGGCGGAGCGCGCGGCGCGACCTCCAGGACGGGCGTCCTCGCGCGGGGGCTGCGGGGCCGGGGGAGGCCGAGCCGGGCGGGCCCCGCGACCCTCCCCGCGCGCCGCGCCGGGGGAGGCAGGGCCCGAGGCGGCGACGGGGGCCGCGGGGCGCGGAGCCGGTGACAGCCCCGGGGCCCGCGCGCGGGCGCGCCCGGACGGCGCTCGCAGACCGGGGCGCCCTCGCCGCTCAAGGAAGCCGCGGAGACGCGGTCCGGGCTTCGGGGGGCGCTCTCGGGGCGCGGGGACAGAAGGGGGCGGGACCGCGCTTTTCCCGCTCTCCGGCGGGCGGCTCCGCGGCGCGGTCCCTGCCCGTCCCTGCCCGGCGGCGCGGAGCCGCGGCAACAGGTGGGCCGGCCCGCGCGGGCCTCGCGAGGAGCGCCGGCCGCCGGAGCCCGGAGGGCCGAGCCGCCCCCCAAAGGCGGCCCGGCCGGACCCGCGGGGCGCGGCGCTCCGCAGGCTGACGGGCGCCCGCGTGCCGGCGCCCCCTCCGGCTCCAGGCCCGGCCGGGCTGCCCGACACCCGGGCCGGCCCGCGGAGGCCCCCGGGCCGCTCGCGAAGCCCGGTGGAGCCGCCCAGCGCCGCGGCCGCCGTTCCTCAGGGCGAGCTCCGGGCGGCGCGGGAGGGAAGGCGCCGGGGAGCAGCCGGCCTCGGGCCCGCGGGGGACGCGCCGCGCCCCGCCCCGTCCCGCAGTTCAGCCCCGAGTCCACCGCGCCTCGCCGCCCCGAGCGGCACCGCCCAGGCGGCCCGGGCGCGAGCGCCGCGAGAATCTTTGTGCGCCGCCTCGGGCTCCCTCCCCCCGCGCGCGGACGCCCGGCCCGGGACTTCCGGCGGGAGGGCAGCCGGGGCGGCGGGGCGGGGCGGCCTCCATGTGCGGGGCGCGCACTCCAGCCGGGGGCGGGGACGGGCCCGCTTCCCCCGCGGCGCGCTCCGCCGGGGGCGGGGCCAGCCGCCCTCCAATCAGGGGGAGAGGCGGGACTTCGCGCCGCACGTAGCCGCGGGAGCCCTCCCTCCGCCCTTCACGGAAAAAAATCCTAGCAACTTAAAACTCCAGCCCGGCCTCGGATAGGCGGAGCTCGGGAGAATGTCAGCCAATCAGAGACCGAGAAGGGAAAAAGGGTCTCTCGGCCAGCCAGTGGAAGACAAGAGAAGGCGGGCCCCCGGGGCCCGCGGTGGGCGGAGGCGAGGACGAGGCCCCGCCCCCGGGCCCGCGCGGGCGGGTGGCACGAGCGGCGCCGGAAGAGATAGTAAACAGGCCGGGCCGGGCGGCCGGGGCCGCGGCCGGGAGCCCCGCGCCGCCCTCCCGGCGTCCCCCGGCGCCGCGCCCCGCCCCCGCCCGCGGCGCCCCCCCGACTGACAGGCGCGCCCCTCGCGCCCCTCCCGCCGCTGATGCATTTCCTTTTCCCGGCGCGGGGACGGTCTCCCCAGTTTCCGACCTTCACGGCCCCTCCAGCCCCCCGCGCCCCCGGCGGGGAGGCGCCGCCGCTCCCGCTCGCCGGGGCCGCCGACCCCGGGGCTGTCCGCACCCGGCCGGGCTCGCGCGGGGCGCCGGCGGCCGCGACCCGGAGCTCGGGGAGCCGGCGCGGGTGGGGGCGCGGCTGGGGGCTCTGCCCGGCGCCCCCCGAGCGCGCCCCCGCCCCAGAGTCCGCGGCCGGCGCCGCCCCCCGAGCGCGCCCGCCGCCCTCCGGCAAGTTCGCGGCAGGAACAAAACCCCGGCGGCCGCCCGCGCGCGGGGCTGCGGGGAAGCCCGGGCCCGGCGAACTCGGCTCCGGGCAACTCGGGGCGCCGCGGGGCTCGCACCGCCGCCCCCCGCAGAGCCGCGCCGCGGAGCGACACCCCCTCTCTCGCGGCCGTCTTCCCGGGGGAGCCGCCTCCGGCCCGACCCGCCGGGGCCGCCGCTCGGAGGATGAACTGGCGGCCCCGCCGCGGTCCCGCGGGCTCGCACGCGCCGCCCTGCCCGCCCTGCCCGGCCGCGCGCCCCGGGCCCGCCCCGCGCGCCCCGGGCCCGCGGCGCACGCCGTGGCGGACCGGCCAGCGCCGGCGGCCGCCGAGCTAGCCCCCCAAACGCCCGAGATTGGGGAGACCAAATTAAAAGCAGCTGTTTAACATACCTTCCGAGCCAGGCGAGGAGTCCTGAATGGGGGGGAACGCCCCCCGCGGGCCATTGGCTCCGGGGCGCTCGCGTCAGCGCCCGGCCCGCCCCCGCCGCGCCCGCCTCTTCCCCTCGGGCGGCGCCCCCCCCCGGAAAATAAAAAGAAAGAAACTCCCCGCGAGTGGGAGGCGCGTCCGTGGAGGAGGACCTGGTCCCCCGGCCCCGCCGCCCGGAGCTTCGGGGGCCCTAGGGCCGGGGAGCCCCCTGTCCCTCGGAGGCCGCGGCGCGGACCCGCGGAGGAGCTGGCGGCGCTCCGGGCCCCCACTTCCTTCGCTCGCGCACCCCCGCTCCGGGCTGGGCAGAGCCGCGGAGGGACGCCCTTGCCACGGCTAGAGCTGTCTCCGCTTCCCCGGCCGTGCAGCCCAGCCCTGCCCACCCCATTCTGCCGGCGACTGGAAACGGGAGGTGCCAGCGGGGGCCCCGCGTCCGGGCAACAGGCGCTCGCCCGAGCGGACACCGTGGTGCCGCACCTGCTGCTGGGTGCGCTTGCAGAGGACCGACGCGGTGCTCGCCCTGCGCCCTCCCAGGGCTGCAGAGGACAGGAGATGCTCCAGAAAGAACTAAGGCAAAGCAGAAGCGTGTGATTACAGAGATTCAGAAGAGGGAAGTTCTTTCTAGCTGCGGAAAACTGGGTAAGGCTTCATGGAGGAGGTTGCATTCAAGTTGTGTCTGATTTCGTCAACAGAATTAGCAGTCCAGTGCTTCTCTGCCAAGGGCACAAAGGGGTAGGTGGGAAACATTGTAGAAATCTCCAAGTGTGGCTGTAGTGATCAACCAGGGCTGGAAAGAGAGCCGAATAGCAGGCTTTAATACTTGGTTAAAATTCTTAAATTTGCACGGAATTTTGGGCATGCAGCATGGTTACAGGACAGGTCCTGAGGAATGGTTTAAAATGTGAAATCCTAGCAGCTGGCTGTTTTGAGGATGAGTTGAATGAGGGTCGCCTGTCGGCAGCGAAGGAACAGAGAGGCTGTGGTGATTCCGGAGGCCACAGAGGCACATCTTGGTGTGGGAAGGCTAGGGAGGGAGAGCCAAGAGGCCCCTTCTTTCTCCCAACCACCCAGTCCAGAAACTTATCTCTATCTTCAGCAGCCCTCAGGTCAAAGCTCTGCCTCAGACTCTTCCTGTATCACTTGCGGTATAACTTTCGTCCAAAAGGAGTGTCTGGGGGGGCAGAGGTTACACCCATGTGACTGTGCTCACCGACCTGAGCCCGGGCCCAGGGCACATGAGTGAGAAAAATCTGTTGATTGAGGCATCCAGGAAAGGGGGTTGGTGTGGGTGCTGCGGAATGCTGAACGTAAAGGGTCTTAGAGTCCCCTGGGCAGAACGGGGCCTGCTGCCAGTTAGACTGTCCAACCGTTCAGGTGAGTTGTACTGAGGACCTGACTGGGGCCGTGGCATTAGGTAACCAAGAATGAAACGGAGAGATGTTTGAGAACGGCTCGACAGTGCAGGTAACAGAGGGACAGTCGTCAGTGTCCTGGGATGTGTAGAGAAGAGATTTGAGGCCAGTGGTTGGGTAATCTGGCTTCTAGGCCAGGGACAAGTTCCTTCTTCCCCAAGCCTGTCTCCCCACTGTGAAATGAAGCTAGACACTGGAGCAGAAAGGCAGGTTCTAAGGGCCCTTTACTCAGTCTCTGAGCGGGTGGGAGGGCAGGGCATGGGGAACCTGCCACTAGGCATACAGGTGGGAATGTTGATTTGGCAAGTGCAGCGGGACACCCCGGCTAGAACGGGGACTAGAATTTGGGTGGTAGTTCAGATGGGATCACCTAGGGAAAGAGTGTAGCCGAGAAGGCCAGGAGGTGAGGACGGCGTGGTCAGTGGGAAGCCAGCACCCGGGCGGGCCACGGAGGTCAAGGTTCATTATCAGATTGGAGGTTCCCTGGGTGAAAACCAAGGTTTTCTCTATCAAAACAGAGATCCCCTGATGTCTGGATTCCCGTCTCAGATTCCTGCTGCATGTCCCAGGGGGCTCTGCCTCGATGAAGGCAGAAGATTCTGCGTGAATGTGAAATGAGCAGAGCGGCAGGGCAGCAAGAACATTAAGCCTGCAAGCTGAGTCCCACGGTTCCCATCCAGTCCCTTCCTGTCTGTGGCTCAGTCTCCTGTCTGGGACGAGAGGGTAACATAGCAATCCTTGCCCTGCTATGAAGATCAAATGTAGTATTAAAATGTGCCTGAATAAACCTAGTGGGATTCTGAGCTTCCATGGCAGTCAGGTATTTAACTGTAAGCCTGGATAGCAAGTGGGATACTGTGGATGAAGTCACTTAGGTAGCACTGGTAACCAGAACAGTCACTCCCACTCACAGAACTAGACTTTGCTGACATTCCCTACCCTCCGATATTCCCTGGTGGGAATCCCCTGCTGAACACATCCTAGAATGAGGTCCTTTAGGCTAGTCACCCTAATTCACCTCTGAACCCCCAGTACCCAAGGCGGTCAGGACCAGGAAGGAATGCAGCGTTTTTTTCTGACTCGGTGCACTGATGTCCGCCTAGCCCAGCCATTCCCATGCTCTTTGGGCAAGGATTTGATTCGGGGACACTGCCCCTCCAGCTGCCCTGAGGGTTGCCTCCACTCACCTCCTCTGACCCTGTCGGGGAGGACAGATTAGTGAATGGATCCGGGTGAGGGTCTTCCTTAGAAGGCCAGGTTCTGATACTAGGAGGGCGCTTTTGTGTATTGTGGAGTATCACCATCCTTTATAGCTGACCAGCCTGAGTTTTAGCACAGTGGAGTGACTAGCCCGTGTCAAGTAGCCAAGGCAAGTCTGTCTGGCCCACAGCCTGAACTGCCCCACCTCTCCCAGGCGGTCTCTCTACATAGGGCCCTGATCTAGAATGGGGCTGCTGGAGAGAGTCTCCACTCTTGCTCCACCCTTCTACCTCCCTAACACCAAGTGCAGTTTGCCTCTAGATAGTTGGACACATCTAACCCTTTCTAAAAATATCCTTGAAAAAACAAGATTTGTTTTTCAACCACATACATGCACACATCCTCAACTCACAACACGTACACTCTCACTTTCCTGACACCTGTCTCCCAGGCACCAGTCGCACCCTCACTCACAGAGGGCTCATTCTCAGTTCTTTAGTGTGCTTACGGCAGGTCACAATTGAGAGACAATTGGTGCCTGTTCTTCAGCGACTGCCAAAAAGATCAGTGCCAATGCCCTGCTAATAGACCCTCTGCCAGCTATAGAAGACAACCACACTCGCTCAGGAATATCCTTGAGAGGGGTACGGGAGACTTGTTCCCTGACCCAATCCAGAGTGCCCTTATAGGTTCAAGGTGTTAAGCTCAGGCTACTGGTTAGAATCCTAGTTGAGTCACTTCCTAGCTGTATATTTTTGGCAAATCATTTTTTTTGTTAAAGATTTTTTTATTTATACAATAGCTGGAGCAGAACAGGCAGATGTACCGAAATACACAGCTGAGGGGCGAGACAGGAGAGGTCTGTCGGTAACCCATGTGGGCCACTTCCTGGCTGGGGATCAAACTCAAGCTGCAGTGGCTGGAGACAGCTTGATAGCACTGAGACAACCCCTGAGGCACCAGGGAGGCCCAAGTTTGAAATTCTTTACAGGGGGTTTAAAACTACCACTCACTGCCCTGAAATGTCTTGCCCTTGCTGAGCATTAATTTGTCCTCCTGGGCCATTTCCAATACAAATCTGAAAACTGGATAAAACAGCATGTTACCCGGTTTGTCAGGCCTCACCTCATATTTTCTAAGTGTTTCATTTTGTCTTTCAGTTGCTTGGTAATTTTTTCTGCAAGCAGTTGTTTCCTTTATTCCAGTGAAATCCTACTCAGAGAACCAAAAGATGAAGGAAGGTAGGTCTTGCTTTGGTTGAAGGAGACACACTGGAGAACATTGCAGCTTCTTCCTTTACCTCCCATTCAGCCTTCTCCCTGACAGCGACTACCCCAAGCAGTGAACCTCCATTTCCAAACCCTAATGCTTCAGCCCAACCACTCCCTATATTTCCCGAGTCTCTGGGAACACAGGCTGGCCTTGTCCTAAGCTACACCTCTGCCTATTGATCAGAATCTTTCAGTCTTTTCTTCCTTTATCCTCCCCTAAATGTTGGTGGCCCCCACAAACCTCACCTCTCTTCTTGCCCTCCTGCTGCTTCTCTGCTTTTACCAACTTCCAAGGCCCCTAGCTTCTAACTAAACTAAATCCCAAATTGAAATCTCCAGGCCAGTGTCTGCCCTGAACATCAGACTCCAAACTTCCACTGCCTGCTGGCCACAGAATAAAGTATTCATTAAAGGTCAAAGAAATGAGACCCCCACGGAATGAAAAAGCTGGCCTCAGCTTAGTTGTGCATCTGGCTAGTCCTGGGGTTTAAGACAACTCCATGAGCTTAGAGAAGTAGCCTGGTAGGGGTGAGCCTGCAGTCAGGGAGAGGGCATTGTAATCCTTTTTGACTGTCTTCTCTCTCCATCTCACTTTTTTTTTCTTTTTTAAGATTTATTGATTTAGGGGCTCCGTGGTGGCGCAGCAGTTGAGTGCTGGGCCACGAAGCTGCCCACGGCCTCTGCAGCACCGGTTCGAATCCCCAGCCACCGGTGAGGGTCCCACATGGCACACAGACCTCTCCTGCCGCCCGCTGCTCCCCTCAGCAGTGTACTTCGGTCCTTCTGCCTGTTCTGCTCCCCGCTCTGTCTCTGGTGAATCCTCTCACCCTCCCGTGCTTCTGACTGTACCCAGTGCTTGTATAAATAAATAAATCTTTAATTAAAAAAAGATTTATTTATTTAATCATACAAGAACTGGGGTGTAAGCCAGATGTGTATAGGGAGTGGGGGGTTGAGAGGATTCACCAGCGTGGGGAGCAGAACAGGCAGATGTACTGAAATACGCTGCTGAGGGGAGCAGGGGTTGAACAGGAGAGACCTGCTGTGCCACATGGGTAGCTCCCTGGCCGGGGTCGAACTCATGCTACAAAACTCGTGCTGCAGTGGCTGGCGATAGCTTAATAGCACTGTCTTTAACCCCTGCGCCACCAGGGAGGCCCCATCCATCTCACTCTTTTTTTTTTAGATTTATTTATTTATTTATGCAAGCACTGGGTACAGTCAGAAGCGTGGAAGGGTGAGAGAATTCACCAGAGCCAGAGCGGGGAGCAGAGCAGGCAGAAGGACCGAAGTACACTGCTGAGGGGAGCAGCGGGCGGCAGGAGAGGTCTGCGCGCCATGTGGGACCCTCCTCCGGTGGCGGGGAGCAGCCGGGGATCGAACCGGTGCTGCAGAGGCTGCGGGCACCCTCACTTTTTTTTTTTTAAATACAAGAAGCGGGATACAGGCCAGAGATGCGGGGGGTGAGCGGAATCACCAGAAACAGAGTGGGGAGCAGAACAGGCAGACTGACTGAAATACACTGCTGAGGGGAGCAGCGGGTGAGACAGGAGAGGTCTGCTGTGCCATGTGAGTAGCTCCCTGACCTGGGTCCAACCCCTGCTGCAGTGGCTGCGGACAGTTTCATAGTTCTGAGCCTTAACCCCTTGCACCACCGGGGAGGCCCCTCCATCTCACTTTCTTGTAGTCTTCCTCATAGTCCTAATAACCATCATGAATACGTTACTCTCAAGTGTTGAAAAGGCATCACTGCTCCCAGCCGCCACTCAGTATCCCAACTCCCAGTTAAGGTCCTGGTATAGTTAGCAATATCTACTTTGGCCTTAGCCAGGAAAATTGGGTAATTAAGACCACAGTATGCCAGATTTAGCTGAAACGGAAGGATTTTATAAAAGCTGTGGTGAAGGATGTAGGGAGATTAGACACTGCAACAGATTTTTGAGAGTGCTAGAGATCTATAATTAGAGAAGACCCCTACCTTCTATGGTTAGCTAAGAGCTGCGCCACCCAAAATGCTTGATATCCTCAACTGCTGTATGATGGGCAGTACCACCCAAGAGAAAGGCTGGCTGCCAAGCTCGTGGGAGTTTTAGCCCCTGCCCTTGATAGGCCAATAATGGCCTTTTTAATTTATTTTTAATTTTTTTTAAGCATGGAAGAACTGGGGTGTAGGCCAGAGGTGTGGGGGCACGGAGGTGAAAGGATTCCACAGAGACAGAATGGGGAATAGAACACACACTGCTGAGGGGAGCAGTGGGCGAGACAGAAGAGGTCTACGCCGTATCTCCCTGGCCAAACCCTGGGGATAGAACCCAGGCCTTAGCGGTGATAGCACTGGGACTTAACCCGTAGGCCACCAGGGGGTTCCCTAATAGTGGTCTCGGAGGCAAGTCTAACAGCTCACCTAGGAACTCTAGGACCGTGGTCAGTCCCTGCCTCGGCGCGGAGTCACACTGTCTGCCCCTCTTGGAGCAGCACAGAAGCCTTAAAGGCCTGTGGACTGGTCTTGCAAATTATAAGACAAATGACCTACTTTACAAGTTGGGGGTCGAGTGGGAAAGAAACTGAGGAATCTAGGGAAGCGAGAGCAGGTAGAGAGAGACTGTGAGAGTAAGCCGAAACTAAGGACTGTACGAGGGAGCTCATCCAAGCTGAGAAGGCCCTGATGCGTCCTCTTAAGGGCGTCACACCGTCCTACAGAGAACCAGGCCCTGGCAACGGGAGCACCTCCAGCAGGGTCAGCTGCTATAGCCCCTTTTCCCAGAACCAGCTAGCTCTTGCCTTGGGTTGAAGAGAGACCCCAAAGAGCTCAGTCTCTCTAGAAAAGCTTTTCCACCTCCCCTCCTACCTCTAGGTCTGGGGGGGTGTGTCTCTCTCCTCCTCCCCCCACCCCACCCCCCCCCCCCCCCGCCAAGGGATCAGGGGCCTTTCAGGGCAGGAGTTCCATCTGCCCAGTCCCCAAGGAGTCAGCCCCATTCTGTCATTACCTGCACTTTGTCACATGCACCCCGGCCTCAACGGGCCCCTTAGGCTGAAGATGCGGCGTCCCTTCATCTCAGGAGTCCTGTCGTAGGCGAAGGGATGGGCGGGATGAAGGGAGCAACAGAACGAGAGAGAGAGAGTGGGGTCACTTCCGTGCTGGAAGAATTAGCTACCATGGGAAAGCCAGCGGGAATAAGTGAAAAAATAGCCATCAAATCAGCAGCAGATAGCTGACTTAGCCCGTGTCCCCCACTGAGCATCTTTTCCCCTCATGTTCTCCACTGTACAATCTAGTGTTTGATTTTAGGTTCTCGTTAGATCTTCTGGATGAGGTCCTTGGTATTCTGAACAAATTCTGGGTTCCTACTCCATGTCCTCCTCTACCTCCTTTAACCTCTGCCACAGGGCGGGTCTCATGAAGTATCTGCTGCTCCAACACTAGCGCTACCAGCCAACTATGGCGGGGCGGGAGGGTGACGGGCAGCCTTGAGCTCTCTCTTCCAGAGGTACTGAAGGCTTCGACATCAATGTGCTCGCCTTCCAGAGTAAGGGACAGGAACTACCTCAGTGACTCTCGAGCCTGCCCATCCTACCACCCAGCCAACAGCCTGCAGGAGGGGCCGAGAATCCGCACTTCTATGGGCGCTGCAGTCACCTCACCGGTGCTCAGCTATGCAGTGGGGACTCACACATACCTTCTAAACTGACAAGGCAGCTGGTTGCAGCAGCTTCAAATAAATGAGAGTTCAGGGCCACCTCCTCCATGCTTTTTTATCCTTAATGTTATTTTTTTACATATTTCACCAAACCCCTAATCTCTCTGATTGGCCAGATTTCAAGAATCTCTGTTCACCTTTAGGGTGGCTTGTCCCGAGAGAATGGCAGACTCTGTGCTGCACTTTGGCTCTTCGTTAAGGTAAGAAACTCAAGAAAAATGTGGTGGTAGATCAGGAGATGGGTTTCTAAGAGGGAGTCTCCTGTAAGAGTGAGGAACAGAACAAGTACTCCGCAGGCAGATGGTCCAGGTTCTTGGCGGTGGCAAATTACTTTTCCTATGGTTCAATCTTCTGTCAACACCTACTTTAAAAGATTGTTTGAGGATGAATAACACCTAGAAAACATTTTGAACAGTACCTGGAACAGAGTTAAGTACCCAGTAAATCTTAGCTGCCATGACTTTCATTAATTACACCCAAATATTTGCATACTCTCCATGTTAGAACTATACCAGCTGGAGAGACCGTCACAAGGCAACACAGAGTAGCTACCTGGTGTGGGGACTGACGCTGCAGGGACAAAGCTTCTGGTTCCATTCTAAGGGGGAGATGCAAATGACTCAAGTTCTTCCCGCAAAGACCAGTGTGCCCTCGTGTGTGGAATTCCCTGGGAGACGGACCCTTTGAATATGCTGTAGACCCAAGGCCCCTACTGAGGGGAACCAGTCACTGACCCTTTACTATATGTAACATGAGCTAAATACCAACAAACTGGAATTATGACTGTCTAGACTTTGAAAGGAGAGCTTAAAAAAAAAAAAAAAAAAAAAAAAGATCCCCAAAGACAAAACACTGTCTTTAAGAGCCAGCAAACCGGTGAAGAGACCAAGGCTTTATAAGCAGGCTGACCTGAGCTCCAGTTCTAGAGCGAAGCACTGTATCCCTCTGGGCTTTACCTTCCTGATCTATACAGAAACAGAAGGAAGAATAATGCCTCACTGGGATTTTCCTGAGAATGGGCTGTGAGGTGTGAATGAGATCATGGAGGGAAAGCTTCAAGCACGGAGACTGGCCCCCAGCAAGCATTCAACAGTGCTGGTTCCCTCTGTCTGCCCAGGGCTAGGACCATGACCTGTGGATGAGGTGGGTGGCTCTAGAAATGAAAGTCTCAGCTACTGAGGCCTTGAGTCCCTCCCTGCCTCCCCAACCCTCCCAGATCAGCTCCTGGACCCCCTTCTTGGCTTCCCAACCCCAGACTGCCACTAAATTGATGAAGCTAAAAGGGTTTGATCATGTCGGTATATTTGTATGTAAATACAAAACTGTAGCACTGTAAGATATTGAATATGAATTATTTACAATTATTTTCTGAATCTGACTCAGTCCATTGACGTTAAATACAAAATGAAGAGATTGTAAAAATAAGAATATATACATTCAAAGAGCTTATTACAGTATAAAATTATCGAGGTTTGATCAGCTGCCAACCTCATCTGTGATGGGGGGAAGAAGGTTTAGGGTTCCTGGGATTTTCTTGGAATGTGAAGTATCGGGGACTGTTGATTCCACCCCTGGCACATGAGGCTGGGTCGGCCAGGAGCAGACGGGGACGGTTCAGATGAAGAGAGAACACACTGTGACTGCAGGGGGCCGCCTCCCCCCGGCCATGTTTGAGTTTTTTAGTGACGCAGAACCTACCCAGGGCCTGGCAGACTGGAAGGCAGGGAGACACGGGTATCTGAGCGGACAGGGTGAAGGCGCATGAGGAAAGGAAGCTTCTGGCAACAACAGCAAAAGGCCAGGGGCCCGGGCCCCGCTCATTCTCCCAGGGAGGGTTCTCACAGCAGTTTCCCTTTTCACACACCCGGGTTCCCTCCCTCTCTTTCACCGTTGCTGCTGGCTCTGGCTGCCCTGTAAGTTCATCTCTACCCTCAGACCCCCATCCCTGAGGGGCAGGGAGAGGAAGGGGGAGCTCTGGAATCACAGTGGAGGTCTGTTCCCCAAATCCACAAAGCAAGCAGAGAAAGAGGATTGGGTGAGGACAGTCCATCCTGAATTACACCAGTGTCGCCACAAAGCGGTGTCCTCGGCTCCGACAGGCAGCAGCCCGGCAGGAGAGAGACGGTCCACCGGGATGGGACCTGGGGCGGGAACGCGGCCGGGACGGGGTGTGCCCTCTTCCACAGGCTGCGTTCCGACAGTGGGAGCCACGGTCCCCGCCCCGAGTGGTTTTGGATAAACAGTAGGGTCCGAGGAGCCGGGAGACCTAAACTGCAACACGGAACCCCAGGAAATTCTACAAAGGAGCGTCTCTGTGTATATGTCTTTATAGAATACGACCATAGCATCACGTACAGGATATATTATATACACACGTACACATGGACCCAGACACGTACGTGCACATACACGCGCGCACACACACAGTGACAGGAGACCGGGATACACGCCCTACGTATAACCGTGCTTGGCACTCGGGACGTTCCTCGAACTATGTAACTTGGTCAAGCTCTCCGGGAAGGAAGGTGAGTGCGCACCAAACCTCCCCAGCAAATCCTAAAAAGGGGAAGGAGTCGGAAAGAGACCCGAGAAAGAGAATGGCGTCGGGAAAGGGTGAGGGAGGATCCTTCCCCCCTTACCTCGGGCCCTGGCAAAAATGGATAGCCACAATTTGGTTTTAATAAGGCACAGTTCAATAGCAGGTGCTGGGAGTTCAGAACACATTGCTGCTGGCCCTTTCTAGTGGCAACGTCACCACATCTGTCTAGCCAAAGGGAAAGGCTGCCTTGCGTGCACACGTGCGCCGGGAGACACAATAAAGAGGTTGGTCCATGGCTTCAACATAACTGAGGGCGACCTACAGGCTCAGCGCTGTCCGCGGTGGAGAAGGCTGGCCAGCAGGTAGGAGGCCTGTGGACAATTACTGACTCTCCATGGCCAGGAGGTCGTGGCTGGAGGGCACCATGCCCTCTCTCTCTGCGAACTCCAGGATTGCCTTGTAGCAAAAATAGTACTGCTCAGGGGTCTGGATGCTGAAGGCCCTCTGGGTCCTCATGCGAGACACCGTCTGGAACACGTTAAGGGTGCCAAGCTCCTCCAGCTGTGCCAGGCAGATGTCCAGGGAGCAGAAGGTACCTGAGGAGAGGAAGGGTGTGGTCACACTTGGCCCGTCTCGCCTCTCTCACCTTCACCAAGTAGCCCAGGCGTGACTGCACACAAGAACCCAAAGGCAGATGCCTACTGGCAGGACATCCGGTGACTTAAGGCCCGAGAGGATGCGAGGAGGCGGTCAGAGGGAGTGTCGGAGGCCAGAGAAATGCCAGCTGTATATAGATGGACAACAGACAGAGGAGGAGAGAAGTGCCTGTTGCGATCCCAGACGGACATGTCACAGGACTTCCACTTCCCAGACCTGATTTTCAGAGCCACCGCCACTTCTCCACAGAAACGTAACGCGAACATTCTTCCTGACTTTTCCCCAAAGGCACCCACCTCAGTTGAAAGGCCAGTAGTCCCTGCAGTGCATAGCCCCTTCGGACACAGACTGCTTGCGGGCTCCAGGATGGAAAACACAGCTGGGGGTGGGGGATGGGATGTGGCGGCAGCCTAGCTCAGCAACCTGGGCTACCCAGGTGAGAGTGAGCATGCAGATGGGACACACGAAAGGGCTTGGCTTGTCGGGCATATACTCTGGCCAGCACACCTAGCACTGGGGCCACTCAAAGAGGAAGTTTTCATGGCAGTTCACCATCAGTGGATCAAATTCTCAAAAAACGACACTAAGCTTCATATTCGTCTCCACCTTCAAGGCCTATCAATGTTGCGAGGTCACATCAGGTACATTACCTGTCCTGCCAATGCCGGCACTGCAGTGGACCACAATGGGGGGCTCGGGGCACTGCCCCCTGGAGCGTGAGCCCACGCTGCTGACGGCCAGCCTCTGCTGGCTCCTGACCACTCTCAAGAAGTCAATGAGGGAAGCTGCCGAGGTAGGGACACCATAATCTGGCCAGCTCAGGAACTGAAAGTGGGTCACCTGGCGTTTCTGCCGTTCCTTGAACGAATAAAGAAGCAAAAGTGAACGAGGTCATTTCTGCTTGCCCCTGACTAAGCTTTTTTCAGATTGGCAACCCCGGGATCCTCCCACCACCAAGATTCCAGCCTACCCCCCTTAACCCACTATGGACCCAAAGGAGAGGTTAAATGTCCAGAGAGGGCACAGAATTCCTATACTATGGGGTCCAGATTTCTTGGCAGTCTCATTCCTAAGCAATGTCACTGCTGCGCTGAGACCATCTGGCTACCCTGGCTCTGGGATGACCATCCTGCCTGTTCCCTTCGGAGGTTTTCTTTCCGGTAAAGGTTCTCCCCCACATTCAAAAAAGTAAGAAAAGAGAATCCTGGATTTACCTCTATGTTGTGAATTTCTAGCGTTGTTTTCTTATAATGGTTCATGTTCTCCACGCCTAGATTGGTCACTGTGAGGAAGCCAAATCGGATCCGAGAGTCTTTTTCTAAAGGCCAGTACTGGCCACACTTTCTCCTGCCGCCCTCCTCAAAGCTGGAGACAACAGAGCAAGTAAGTCCTCTATCCTTCCTCTCCACAGCAGAGACCCTGCTCCCCCGAGCCAGCAATATCCTGTCTTACATTGCTCCTAGTGTAGACCTTTGCTTCCTGGTGAAAAAGCCAGGAAGCCTTTTGATTCTAAATGTGTAAAAACAGCTAAAGTTGGGCCTCCCTGGTGGCACAAGGGATTAAGAAGCAACCTATGAAGCTATCCACAGCCACTGCAGCACAAGTTCGATCCCTGGCCAGGGAGTTACCCACATGGCACAACAGACGTCTTCCGACTCGCCCGCTGCTCCCCTCAGCAGTGTATTAGTCAGTCTGCCTCTTTTGTTCCCCACTCTGTCTCTGGTGAATCCTCTCACCCCTGCACCTCTGGCCTGTACCCCAGTTCTTGTATGCATAAATAAATAAATCTTAAAAAAAAAAAAAACCAGCTACAGTTTCTGCATGTATTCATTTAGCAGACATTTCTTTTTATCATTTGAACTCCCGGCCCTTAATCTCAACACTGTTCATTCTCTCCCCCCAAGGGCCCGTGGCTGACAGGCAAGTGAGAAAGACACAACTCCCGTGGAGCCAGCAGATTTGTGTCAAGATCTAAAGTTCACCTCACCCCTTCAGGGGCTCCGAAGTCCTCCAAGCTGGTTCTCTCCCAGCTTGAATAGTGCCCTCAGGAAGGGAACTGAGCAAATATTCTCATTAACTGGTTTTCTCCTCTTCTGAAGTAGGTTATAGCTATCATAATGATGATGATGATGATGATGATACTAATGAAATGGGTTAATTCCTGAAGTTTGGGCAGATTTGATTTGTAAACCAACATTTCAAAAATACTCCTTTCTTTCAAGAGCTTCCTGCCTCTCACCTTTCGCCTCTTTTTTACAGTTCTGCAGGTGGAAATAAGAAGGAGCAGAGCAGGAAAAATGGTCAAAAGTAGCAGGAAAAAGAGAGCAAAGGGAAAACAGAAGACAGCCACCCTTTGGAAGTGAGGGCCAGATCCAAAGCAAACTGCCCATGTTTCCCAATACTTCTTCAGGCTGAGGCCAGGACCTCAGAACAGACCATCACTGCACAGGGTCAGCAGAGTCATGAATTAAAGGTCTAACAGGTCAGGACTAGCAATCTCCACCAGACCCTGCCTGGGTTAACTTGAGGTCAGCTAAGAAAAGGCTAAGACATCTCAACTTTTTTGCCATAGCTTTCCTAATCCTCATTTCTCCTAAGAGCTGAACTCCCCTCTGGAATCACCACCCTTGGGTCAGGATGGAAGGGGGTACAGTGCAAAGAGAAGGGATCAACTCACCGAGTGGTCATGACAATCACCAAGACTTTCTGCTCCCATACCATGAGCCAGAAGTCTCGATAGGTATTCTCCAAAGGGCCTGGAAAGAATGGAAAAGACAAGGACCGTGAACTTGGGGAGTACTTCTTCCCTTCTCAGGCTCGTGTGTTTTCCGAGCTATTAACCCCAAGGCATGGGTGCTGGCTCCCTGTTCTCCTTGCTATATCCCTGCTCTTCCGAGTGGTCCATCAGCGCCAGCATCAAGTGAAGAACGTTGTAATGTATAGTCTGCACGTCATTGCTCCCCAGGCAAGCTGTAGTAGCAGCTGGAGAAGCGCTGCTGTCCACTCTCTGAGAGCCTTCTCATCCGGGCTCTGATTGCACATCCAGGCTGACAGGGTCAAGGTAGGTGTGTCTGTAGCTATTTACATCTCGCCTCTCTAGGAAACCATTCCCCTTCTGTGTCCCCTCATCTCAGACCGAACATGCTTGCGATCTAATAGCCTCCTTCAAAATTAACTTTATCTCTCTACTTTTCCATCGGTTATCAATTCTGGCATTCTTAAATCACTCAGTCTTAAAAAGTTGGTCAACTCTGACTTACTCATTTCCTTCATCGCCCAGAAGCAATCACCAAGTCCTAGAAATTTTTTGCCTTTGAAATTTTTTTTTAAATATTTATTTATGCATGTAAGAGCTGGGGTACAGTCCAGAGGTGCAGGGGGTGAGAGGGTTCACCAGATAGAGAGCAGGGAACAGAACAGGCAGACTGATGAAATCCACTGCTGAGGGGAGCAGCGAGCGCGGCAGGAGAGGTCTGCCGCGCCATGTGTGTAGTTCCCTGGCTGGCCTGGGATCGAACTCCTACTGTGCTGCAGAGGCTGCAGATCGCTTCATAGTGATGCAACTTAACGACTAGCACCACCAGGGAGGCTCTGAAATGTTTCTTTTTTTGTGCTTTTGTCCCCATTCTCTTCCCATCCTGGTTTTCCTAAGCAATTTTGCTGCTACAAGGCTTAGGACTTCTTTTGTCTGACTTACTTTAATAGCATCTTGGCTTACTTTTCCTTTTTTCTTTTTCTTTTTTTTAAGGATGGAAGCTCCAGGTTTATTTATTTATTTAAAGTTTTTTTTTTTTTAAATACAAGCACTGGGTACAGTCGGAAGCACGGGAGGGTGAGAGAATTCACCAGAGCCAGAGCAGGGAGCAGAACAGGCAGAAGGACCGAAGTACACTGCTGAGGGGAGCAGCGGGCGGCAGGAGAGGTTTGCGCGCCATGTGGGACCCTCCTCCAGGAGCAGGGAGCAGCCAGGGATCAAACTGGCGCTGTAGAGGCTGCGGGCAGCTTTGCAACCCAGCACTCAACCGCTGCGCCACCGGGGAGGCCCTTGGCTTACTTTTCTAAAGAGATCTCTTCTGCAGTCTATTCTGGATACTCCTGCCAGTTTATTTTTATTTTTTTTTTAAAGATTATTTATGCATACAAGAGCTGGGGTACAGGCCAGAGGTGCCAGGGGTGAGAGGATTCTCCAGAGACAGAGTGGGGAACAGAACAGGCAGACTGACTGAAATACACTGCTGAGTGGAGAGGCGGTCGAGACAGGAGAGGTCTGCTGCGCCATGTGGGTAGCTCCCTGGCTGGCCGGGGATCAAACTCATGCTGCAGAGGCTGCGGACAGCTTCTCAGTGCCGTGCTTAACCCTATGCGCCACCAGGAGGCCCCTCCTGCCAGTTTAATCTTTCTGAAAAGCTGCTTCACCACAATAGACACACCATACTCACTTCTGCCTCTATTCCTTTGCTCAAGCTCTCACCACCAATGCCATTCACTTTCTACCCATTTTCAAATAATGTCTCTTCCTTGAGGGTTTCTCTAACCACCACTGCATATAGGGCTTCCTCTCCTCTCAGCTCTTGATGGCACAACTGGACAGAAAGAGTTTAACCATTTAAAGTATAGTAAAGTCATTTTACTCTGCAGAAATGAAGCAGGTCTCAGCAAACATGGTGCTGAAGACAAGCTCTCCTTTCAGAGTTAGAATCTTCACAGGGCTGGGCACTCAGCAGGGTCTTTGAAGATACTCTTTTTCAGTCAAGGGAGTAACAACTCAGGATAATTCCTTGTACTTTCTGGGGCCTTTCCCGGTTTTCAGGGAAGTAGGGTAGGACTAATGGTTGGTTTTATCCCAGAAGTCACTGAAGTCTTAGCAAGTACTAATATTTTATGATACTGAAATTTCATGTGAAGTGTCTTGGAAACAAGCTAGATGACTTACAAAGAGATAATTAGTTAAATTGGGTCATACCTCTAATGTAAGCAGTCATTAAAGGTGATGTTGTAAGATCTTTTTGCTATGGAAAGGTATTCACAAAGTACTATAAAATAAAGAAAAGATAATGTATAGAAAGAGTTCCTGGGCCTCCCTGGTGGCGCAAGGGGTTAAGCACAGCACTGTGAAGCAATCTGCAGCCTCTGCAGCATGAGTTCCATCCCCAGCTGGCCAGGGAGCTACCCACATGGCACAGCAGAACTCTCCTGACTCCTGACTGCTCCCCTCAGCAGTATTTCAGTCAGTCTGTCTGTTCTGCTCCCCACTCTGTCTCTGGTGAATTCTCTTACCCCCTGCACCTCTGGCCTGCACCCCAGTTCCTGTATGCATAAATAAATCTTTAAAAAAAAGAGTTCCTTTTGTTAAGTATTTTTTATATCAATATCTATTAGTATGCATAGAAAAAGAATAAGAAAGAGAGTAAGATGTTAACATTATCTCTAGGTGTTAAGATTATGAGTGATTTTCATCTTCATTTTCTAAATTTCTACAATGGACATGCATTACCATAGTACACACATCAGGAAGATAAGAGCACCCTTTCCTCATCTGACTCCCAGCCTGGTTCATTTCCCCCTACTCTGGCTCCGCAGCATTTCTCATATATTTTTCACATTCAAACCACTGGCAAAACTGGTATTGTTGATCAAAGCCTGATCACCCAGACACCACTAAGACTCAGGTTAGATCTGGCTGATCTGCCTGCAAGGACATACAGGCAAGTCCAAGTAAGCAGTGTCCTTGCCTTCTAAACCTAGAGACCAGAGCATTCTGAGGCTCTCGAGAACCATCCCTTATCCTCCAAAAACTCATCCATCCAAAGTCCACCCTCTTTTTTTTTTTTTTTTAAGATTTTTTATTTATTTATACAAGAACTGGGGTATAGGTCGGAGGCGCGGAAGGGTGAGAGGATTCACCAGGGACAGAGTGGGGAGCAGAACAGGCAGATGGACCAAAGACACTGCTGAGGGGAGCAGCAGGCGAGGCAGGAGAGGTCTGTCACACCATGTGGGTTTCTCCCTGGCTGGCTGGGAATCGAACCTGCGCTGCAGAGGCTGCGGACAGCTTCACAGCGCTGCGCTCAACCCACTGTGGCACCCGGGAGGCCCTAAAGTCCACCTTGTTTAACAAAGCCCCTACTTTAGCTCCAAAGCTATTATTTTGCAATGTTTACTTCTCTGTATTTTTCTTTTTTACTGAACCATTAAAAAAATTAATTCTCGGGCCTCCCCTGGTGGTGCAGGGGTTGAGTGCTGGGTTGTGAGGTTGCCCATAGCCTCTGCAGCGTCAGTTCAATCCCCGGCCACCAGCGAGGGTACCACACACACACACAAAAAAAAACCTTTAATTCTCAGGCATTGTGACATTTCTCTCCTAAATACTTGAGCACATCTTTAGAAGAACAAGGACATTTCCTACAGAATACTGTATTTACCATTATCACACTAAAGCAACTGAACATTGATATAATCGTATTATCTAATACACACTCTCTATTTGTCACAATTGTTTATCCTTATTTAAGTTCCAATTACGTATTTCCTATGGTTATCATGTTTCTTTAGTCTACTTTTTTTTTAAAAAAGATTTGTTTATTTATGCATACAAGAGCTGGGGTACAGGCCAGAGGTGCAGGGAGTGAGGATCCACCAGAGACAGAGTGGGAAGCAGAATAGGCAGACTGACTGAAGTACACTGCTGAGGGGAGCAGCAGGCAAGTCAGGAGAGTCTGCTGTGCCATGTGGGTAGCTCCCTGGCCAGGGATCAAACTCGTGCTGCAGAGGCTATGGACAGCCTCACAGAGCTGTGCTTAATCCTTTGTGCCACCAGGGAGGCCCCCCCCATGCCCTTTTTTTGTGTTTCATGTACTAACTCTGATGAGTCGAAGTCAGTTTTCTCATGGTATATAAAACAATCTAGATTTTTCTGGTTTGTTTTTGTGATTAGCATCTGTTTAAAAACTAGCAAAAAGGCCTCTCTGGTGGCCTAGGGACGAGTCTCAGCACTACCACAGCGAAGGCCTGAGTTCGATCCCGTCTGGGAGCTACCCCACATGGTGCAGCAGACCTCTCCTGTCTCGCCCGCTGCTCCCCTCAGCAATGTATTTCAATAATCTGCCTATTATGCTCCCTGCTCTGTTTCTGTTGAATCCACTCACCGCCGCCCCCCACAGACACCTCTGGCCTACACCCCAGTTCTTTTATGCAAAAAAAAATAAATTAAATAAATTAAAAAAAAACTAGCAATATACAGCTCAGGTAATATGCATTTCTCACTATATCACAATATAATGTCTGCCCATTCTTGGAGATACTCAGTGGATAACTGAGGTATCACCAGATCTCTGACTTGCCATATTCTGCAATGGTCAAATGGCATTAAGGCTACATGGTGGCCTGTTATGTCCTCCTGTGTTGTGAATTCTTCTCACCCTCTTTGAAAGCAAGCTGGTGTTATTCTCCCTGAAATGGCAGAGGCCTGATCAGAAGGTGTACTGGGGCCCACAGGAGCACTTAGAGAAACTCCATCTGAAATCCCTGTAAAGCCCAGTACACTTCACTGTCAGAGCTTGCATAGGCTATCAGTGTCAGAACACCACTGGTGTGCTCTGTCATCATAGAAGGGTGAGAAAAAGGGCCTCCCTGGTGGCACAGATGTTAAAGAGACTGCGCTGTCAAGCTGTTGCCAGCCACTGCAGCACGAGTTTGATCCCTGGCCAGCCAGGGAGCAACCCACAGTTGCAGCAGACCTCTCCTGACTTGCCAGCTGCTCCCCTCAGCAGTGTATTTCAGTAGATCTGCCTGTTCTGCTCCCCACTCTTCTCTGGTGAATCCTCTCACCCCCTCGCATCACTGGTCTACACCCCAGTTCTTGTATGCATAAATAAATAAAGTTTTTTTTTTAAAAAAGGACCAGAAAAAGCCTCTGAGGACAGCAACTCTCATTCATAAATTGGACTTGATTTCTGCAAAGTCCCACTGCCATTCCTGATCTCCTACTGGACATAAAGATCATGGTACTGGCCACTGAGTTCTGATGCCCCATTCCCTTGAGTTGGCAATACTAAGAAACAATCTGAAAATCTTCTGCAGTATTGTGTGTTCACATCTCCAGTTTATTTCTATGTGGTAAGTTTCCAGGCACATCTGGTTCAGAAATGCTACTCCTTTTATCTGCCTTCCTCAATCACCCCCAACCTTTATGAAAGGCTAGGATCTAATAGTACTGATATCACCTCAAGTTATCATTTCCATTAATAAGTGCAACTTATGGGGCATTTCTGGTGGCCCAGGGGTTAAGGCTCAGCATTATCACCACAATGGCCTGAGTTTGATCCCCCGCCACGAAGCTGACCCACATGACGTGGCAGACCACTCCTGTCTCACCTCTCCTGTCTCGCCCACTGCTCCCCTCAGCAGTGTGTTTCAGTCAATCCGCCTGTTCTGCTCCCCACTCTGTCTCTGGTGAGTCCTCTCACTCCTCTCGCAATTATGGACTACACCGCAGTTCTTCTGTGTATAAAAAGTAAATAAATCTTAAAAGAAAAAAAAAAGGTGCAGGGCCTCCCCTGGTGGTGCAGTGGTTGAGCGCTGGGCTGTGAAGCTGCCCGTAGCCTCTGCAGCACCAGTTTGATCCCTGGCCACCTGGCGAGGGTCCCACATGGCATGCAGACCTCTCCTGCCGCGCCCGCTGCTCCCCTCAGCAGTGTATTCGTCAGTCTGCCTGTTTTGCTCCCCGCTCTGGCTCTGGTGAATTCTCTCACCCTCCCGCACTTCTGACTGTACCCAGTGCTTGTGTAAATAAATAAATAAATAAATAAATCTTTAATAAAAAAAAAAGGTGCAACTTATGAGAGGCAAACCAACTTACCTTGTGTACCAATGTAGGCATTTTTCTGCTTGTAGCCATCCATGAAACTGGCATTGATGTAATCTGTCTAATGATAGAAAGGAAATATCATTGCAGCTGTGTGGAATACACCATGTGGGCAGAAAAATGAAATTTACTTACTACCCATGTGGGTAGTAAGTAAATGAAACCCAAGGTGAAGATAGTTTCTTCTTGTCAGGCAGAAAATCCGAGCAGATGGGGCAATTCAAAACCTCACTTCCACAAATGTTGCTAGGACAACTGGTTATCCACATGCAGAAAGGTCAAGCTGAGTCCTTTTTCACACCATACACAAAAATCCGAAATTATACTTAATTGTAAGAATTCTACGAAGTTTTAAAAGAAAATATAGTATTAAGTCTTTGTGACCATAAGTAAGGCAAAGTCTTCTTAGATATGATACCAAAAAGACAAGGAACTATGGGAAAAACAAATAAACTGAACTATATTAAGTTTTCAAATTTATGCTTCAAAGGACAGCATCAACAAATTAAAAAGACAACCCATAGAATGCATGTATTTGATAAAGGACATGTATCTAAAATATACAAAGAACTCTCACACTTCAGTAGTAAAAAACAACAACAATGGGCAAAGGATCTGAACAGACATTTCTCCAAAGATACACTAATGGTCATCCTAATAAGCACGTGAAAAGAGTTTCACCATAACTAACCATCAGGGAAATGCAATTCAAAATCACAGTAAGATAACACTTCATACCCGCTAGGTTGGCTATAGGTAAAGGTAACAAGAAATGTTGTCAAAAATGTGGACGAATCAAAACCCTCACACACTGCTAGTGGCAGTGTAAAATAGTTCAATAACTTTGGAAAACAGTCCGGCAGTTCCTTGAAAGGTTAAACATGGTTACCATGTGACCCAGCAATTCCACACCTAAAAAAATAAAATCATATAGCAATAGAAAAACTTAACCTACCAAAACATCTAGCAGCATTATTCATAAGAGCCAAAAATGGAACAATTCAAATGTTGGCTGAATGGATAAATAAAACGTGGTATATCCACACAGCCCACAGAAGGTTTCCGTAGTAATAAAGTGAAATGCTGACATGCTACAACGTGGCTGAGCCCTGGAAACATGCTGAGTACAAGCAGTCAGACACGAAAGGCCACATAGGACATGATTCCATTTATATGAAGTGTCCAGAATGGGCAAATAAACTAAGTAATTGGGGTGGGTTCTGGGGACACAAGGAGCGACTGCCAAGGGCTTGGGGTTTCCTTTTCAGGTGACAAATACTAGTATATGAGTTGCATCTCAATAAAGCTGTTATTTACCAAAAAAAAAAAAAAAAAAAAAAAGGAATCTACTAGAACTTGCAGCACTGCAACTCCAGACCAAAGGAGGCAAGTCACACAACCTGAAGGGACATGCCCATGAGGGCCAAGTGACTAGAAAGGGAAGAAAGCTAGACTCCCCACCTAGCGCCATGCCGTCTGTTACTACCTGTCATGACGCAAAGCGACGGCTAACTTCAGAGGCATGTCCATGAAAAACTCCTGACTCACTCTCTGCTGCGGGTCTCCTCCCCTTTCCCAATGCCCTCAGTCTCCCTGCCCTGTCATTTTTCACTCTACCTTCTCGCAAGCTCTCTGCCAACATCCTCTAATTCAAGCTGATAAGAAAAACACAGAAGCAACTACAGCCCAAGTCAAATACCACTAGTTGAGAGGATCTAGCAGTGAGGACAGAGCAGTGTGTGTGGTGGGCTGCAGAAGAGCCAAAGAAAAGCCATACCCTACTCCGCGCAAGAGAGGCCAGAATGACTCCCTAACCTTGTCGCCCTTTCTCCACTAGGTGCCATCACTTGGAGGAGAAGGAAAACTGTCAGAACCCCACAGCTACCCTCGGAAGGCATCTCCACCGCACAGTCAAACCTGTATTACCTAGCTATGAGTCCGCGAGCCAGAGAGTCTACCAGCTTATCTTCCCACTAATGATTTAGTCACGAGGTTCTGCTCTTCTCTCCTCTCACAGCAGGGGGCACTGACCTCACTCTCTTGCTTCGCACACCTTCACTGAACTAACGAGGCACCTGCAGCAGACACAGAAAGCTGAAAGTCACAATGACTCCCAGGCAGGGTTTGCAACCCAGGGCAGACCCGTTGTGAGCCAAAGCCCATCCTCTGCTCAGCTTGCTGCGCTCGAGTGCATGCCCTGCGGGATCTAGACGAGAGAGAACAGAGCAGTACCAATGTGACCGTCAACACCAGCACAGAAGTTACATACAAGCTGTTACTTTCGGAGGTACCATCATACTTTGAAAAGAAATGTCACCTCTTTAAAGATAACTTATTTCCTTTGAACTAGGGATACCAGCTTTCAGAATCTTTGCCTGAGAACACTGAGAATTAAAATCACAATTTCAAAAGAATTATCAGACATTACAACTGAAAAGGACCACACAGATAAAGTAGAGACTTGAGGGCAAACTGAATCACAGAGAGAATGAAACCAAGAACACTGTATTATGGGGCTCATTCAATAAAAAAAAATATGACTAATACCATTAGAATTTTAAGAGCAAACCTGGTTAACTATTTACTAATAAGCCCGAATTCTCCACTTACTGTGGAAATAACGTTTGCCAATGTTTGCAGTAATAAGAAGGATTATAACTTAAGTGATGATCTTCAATTAATGACAGTATGATTAGAATTAGCCTCCTGGTAAACTAGGGCTCACTCATTCATTCACAAATAATTAGGGAATGTTTGACACATGCCAGGCACTCTGCTAGGTACTGGAGACAGAATACTCAACAAGACAGATAAATACAGGGACCTCTTGACTCCAGAGCCCCAACTCAGTATTTATTCTCCACTCTTTCAGAACACAAACCATGATAATCTCAGTAATACTGATGAATTAGTCCTCAGGCAGACTCTCAGTTAAAGCTCCTGTAGGAAAACGCTCTGAAAGGATACCAGTCAGGACTACAAAATCAGTACGTGTGCTTGAAAGAGTAGGGTCAAAAGTGACTGAAACCATGATTCTCAGATCCTCACCCATACACTACATATGGCCAAATACAAGGCAATGATTTTTCCAAGTTACCCCTCAGAGAAAAGAAAGGAGCTATAACAAGTTCCTATAATGTATGTGAGGACAAAGACATTGATATAAAGGAACATGAAGAGTTTAAATAATACTTTCACTATCTATATACTAATTTATATGATTTTTAATATGCAGATACTATAAAATTAATACATTAAATGATAGAGTCATTTGACCATTTCATCTCTATCACTAGATATTTACGTATAAACTAGTTGTCCAAAATATTTGGGTAGATCTTCTAGATGCAAAAATCAAAGGCTACTTATAATCAGAGTTGCCATGTACTGATGCATATACACTGACCAATACGATGGATGATGTGACCACGATTTTGCAACTAAAAAGTAAAAGCAGAAATAAGTGAACATGTATCAGGAGCCCACAATATACCAGACCTCCTGCTACAGGCGTCTGCATAAAGTATCTCATTTACTTGCCAATTAGTGCTGTGAGGTAGGCAGACAGAGCCTTGCCTGTCATACTGACTAGTATGCGGCAAAGTTAACACTCAAACCTTTAGCTCTCTGGCCTAGAGTCCATGTTTTTTCTAGCACAGTATTCATAAGCTTCACTTTGGAAGAGGCTTAAATTCCCCTCAGTGCTCCTGAGAGATGGCATCTCTCGCTCTACCTGAGTGTGGCCACTCCGCTTTGTCAGCTTCACTCTCGTCTGGTCCAGGCAGGGAACGTCCCCATAGCGGTTCTTCTCTAGGTTTCCTGGAGACCTGAGGAAATGAAATAGATGAGCTGAAGTAAAGAAAACGTGGGGATGCTGTGTATGTTTGTGCAGGAAGCTTGTTAGTGCACAGGTGCGTGTCGATGACTGCTGGGAGCAGAGACAGAGCTAGTCACAGTCTGGTCAGTATAATTCCATATTGTGTCACATGTTTAGTAAGTATGTATGGAAATAAAGATCTTTCCATTCAAAAGAAAAAAAGAGTGAGAAATAAGACTACAACATCAAATACAATTTAGCTGCAAATAAAATTTTCTACTACTCGTTTCTCAGAAGATATTCAAATTAAACTCTCAAATTCCAGTTCAACATGGTAGTTGTCAACACGTTTGATTTTACTTAATCCAGTAGCCTCACTAAAATGACAATAAGGGAACTAATTAGTATAAACCCCAAAAGTAAAGCAGAGACAAAGATTTCAGAAGGATGAAATAATGTTGGTTTGTAACAGTATGTTTCAAGGATACAGAATTAGACTTTCTCAGCTGTACACCTCATTATAATCACCACCAGAAAAGTCTTTTCCATCCACCACCATCTAACTGCTCCTCTGGATTCTTCTAGTCACCCCCAACCTTACTTCCTTTGGTAACTCTCAATCTGTTCTATGAATCCAAGTGTTAGTTTTTGTCTTGTTTTTTTCATTTATTTTGTTCTTTATCATCCGCACTAGTAAAATTATTTGTCTTCCTCCATCTCACTTATTTCATGTAGAACAGTCCCCTCAAAATTCACCCAGGTTATTGCAACTGGTAAGATGTCATCTTTTTTTTCTTATAACTTAGTATTACACATGTCTATATACCACATCTCCATCCATCCGTCTCCTTGCAAAGACAAACAACAAGTGGTGAAGACACAGAGAAAGGGGAACCCTAGTACACTGATGCTAGGAATATAAACTGGTGCAACCCTTGTGCAAAAGCAGATGGAAATTCTCAAAAAATTAAGACTAAAAATACAGCTACTCCACATCTAGGTATTTATGCAAAGAATATGAAAACAGTAATTTGATGTATGTACCCCTATATTCACTACAGCATTCTTTACAATAGCCAAGATCTGGAGATAACCTAAGTGTCAATGAACAGAGAATGGATAAGGATGTGGTAGCAACCATTTTTTAAAATTCAATTAGAAAATGGACAACAAGGAGGCAAAGGATATACAGATAGCAAATAAGCACAAGAGAATGTGTTCAACATCATTAGCTAGCAAGGAAATGTAAATTAAAGCCACAGCAGATCTCATTACATACCCATAACTATTGCTAACATAAAAAATAGTGACAACATCAAACGCTGGTAAAGAAGCAAAGAACTGGATCCTTTACACACTGCTGAGCAGAAAGGAGGAAACAAGAAAGGGACAGTCAATCTGGAAAACAGCTGAGAAGTTTCTCATAAGCACTCTTGGGTATTAATACCAGAGGAATGGAAACATTTATACAAAACTTTTATTTTTATTTATTTATGCACAGAAGAACTGGGGTGTAGGCTAGAGGCGTGGGTGTGTGTGTGTGAGAGAGAGAGAGAGAGAGAGGATTCACCAGACACAAATTAGAAAATAGAACAGGCAGATCCACTGAAATACACTGCTGAGGAGAGCAGTGGGAGAGGTCTGCTGCGCCATGTGGGTCAGCTCCCTGGCCAGGGATCAAACTCAGGCCGCAGTGGCATTTATACAAAACTTAAGACACAAACCTTCATGGCAGCTTTACTGGTAATAGATAAAAACTGGGGGAAAAAAAAAACAGATGTCCTTCAACAGGTAAGTAAACTGTGGTAAATTAATATCATAGAATACCCACGCCACACCAAGAATACTGATGCACATGGCAACTTGGATGAAATCTCCAGGGAATTATACTGAGTGAAAAAAGGCAATCCCAAAAGATTGCATATATTATGATTATATTTTTAGATAATTCTTTTTTTTTTTTTTAAGATTATTTATTTATTTATACAAACACTGGGTACAGTCAGAAGCGTGGGTGGATGAGAGGATTCACCAGAGCCAGAGCGGGGAACAGAACAGGCACACTGACGAAATACACTGCTGAGGAGAGCAGCGGGCGCGGCAGGAGAGGTCTGTCTTGCCATGTGGGACCCTCGCTGGCAGCCGGGGATCGAACCAGCGCTGCAGAGGCTGTGGGCAGCTTTGCAGCCCAGGTTCAACTGCTGCGCCACCAGGGGAGGCCCAAAGATAACATTCTTAACACAATGATAGTACTGGCAAACAGATTAGTGAATGCAGGGGTGAGGTACGTGGGGATGGAATTCTGAATCTTGACTGTGGTAATGGATACCTGTATGTGTGATGAAAGAAATGCATAGAATGAAGTACACACATGGAAATCTGAGTAAGCTTGATGGATAGTATCCATGTCAATGGCCTGTTTGGGATTCTATACTATACTTTTGGAAAATGTTACCAGGGGAAACACGAGAAAAGGGTGCATATGACTTGTGTATTATTTCTTTCAATAGCATGTGAATCTACAATTATCTCCCAATAAAAAGTTCAATTTTTAAAAAAGCCATTTTGGGGGGAAAAAAGATGTAGGTGGAAAAAACTACAACAACAAAGTCTCTTGGTCCATGAGGAATCTTGGGCAGATATCTACTTCATAATGTAGAATTACAAGGGAAACAAAGTTTGTTCTGTGTAAGAAGTTGGCCTGGAACTTGGTGTGGGGCAGAGGGCCGGAGCTGGTGATGAACCTGAGATGCCGCGGGGGCGAGAAGGGGCTCGTTCATTAGTGAAGAGGCAAGAGTAGGAAGTCCTTCCAAAGGACTGGGATATGCTCTCTGATTCTGTAACATGAGAGCTGGTTTGAGTGATGCCAAGAGACAATCTAAACCCACTTTTTTTAATGGGTGGAAAGGGGGCTGTGGTAGCAATGGCATCTCAAGGACTCGGAGCAGAAGCGCCCACAGCAAGGTTAGGAATCCCCATGACGGTCTATCCTTTCGCAGCCAGCTCTCCTCCTTCATACACCCCTGATTCAAAGCTAATAGAGGAGCACTGCTGGGAACAAGACTGGATGCATATGGGGTCTCAAACTGGCAGGGAGAAAAGCTACGTAGGAGAAAAGAATACCCTCCTTGCCTGATAAACACTCCACTTTCTCTCTTTCTTCTCTTTCCCTTGCATTCTTGCTGTTACTGGCTCTTTTCTCGAATGCGTCTGCTCTAATTTCCCATCTCAGTTTCTGAACTCATTATTTTCCCTCTTTCCTTTTGCTACAAGGTTCTCCCTGCACATTCTTTACAGCACATTGACTAAGCTGGACAGGAATGACAAAGGGGGAAGAGGTACTCACAGAATTGTGGATTCCTACATTTAAGCTAAAAAAGGAAGTGGTAGCAGAGTCTAACAGTCACATATTTCAGGAAAAGTGAGATACAGAGAAGGTAAATAACTCATACCACAGAGATTTTAGCTATGGTGGCACATGAGCCCTAATGTCCAACTCACAGAACTCACTACTTGGAGAGAAATTGCTGCAGCCAATGAAAACATGAAAATTTAAAATAATCTATATTCTATTACCAACAACAGTTATCAACCTAATCATAAACTAGCCAGGAGGTTTTGTGATAGGACGTGGGTAGAAGAAAAATCCTATGAGGCCAAATTCCTAAGAAAATCCGATAAGGCCAATTCAAACTCTTTGCTCTTACTAATTATGGATCATTTTAAATGCAGAAGTATGCTTCCTCAGGAAGGCATGTACTAGAAATGCTCGCAGGAGAAATCACCCAGATGAACAGAACAGCGAGCATACTGAGGGCAGGAGAAAAGGGTAGCCCATTGGTAGAGAGCCTAAACTTGTGTAATTTTCCTCCTAAAAACACTTGCATGTCAGGAAAATACCCACAACTCTGTCCATTATTACAGTGCTCCCCTTAGAGCACAGGATGTTGTTGCTGAGTACAGTAACACTCAGTTAGTTAATTTATGTAAGAGTGATGCTCCTAACACAAGTCTGCACTAGGGAAGAGAGATGCTGAAGGAGCCGTTGCTAGCATGTGCCAGAAGCCATCCTAGCCACTGATGGTCAGCCCAGCCTTTCCTACTTACATGGAACAGTGGAAAGTGCCAACGGGGTTCTCGCGACGGATGTCTTCATACTCCTCATATATGCCTCGCTTTTGCCTGGTGCTGACATAGTCCATCAACTCTTGAATAGTCATGGCATGGGGGCCTGGAACATGCACTGAGTCCCAGTCTAAGGCAGGAGGGAGGGAGAACAGGATGATCTCATCGAAGGGATCCGGGTGGCCATTCATCTGGGGTAGGAACTGGAAATTCCAAGTGGCGAGGTCAATTCTGACATCCCCACCCAGGTTTTCTGGAAGGCACTCCCTGGGTAGGTGCTGAGTGACCTCAGATGTCTTTAATATCTGAATCTGGAAAAGCAGAGAACCATATGAATATGGAGGGGTAGGGAGGGGGGAAAGACAGAGACAGTGGAGATAAAAAACAAATGCGCTTATAAAATGACTTCTGGAGAATGGGATCAGATTTGCTTGAAATGTTAGGCGTACTGGGCCTCCCCGGTGGCGCAGTGGTTGAGCGCTGGGTTGCGAAGCTGCCCGCAGCCTCTGCAGCGCTGGTTCAATCCCCGGCTGCTCCCCAGCAACCGGAGTAGGGTCCCACATGGCGCGCAGACCTCCCCTGCCGCCCGCTGCTCCCCTCAGCAGTGTACTTCGGTCTTTCTGCCTGCTCTGCTCCCCGCTCTGGCTCTGGTGAATTCTCTCACCCTCCCGCGATTCTGACTGTACCCAGTGCTTTGTATAAATAAATAAGTAAATAAATAAATAAACAAAAAAACAAAAGAGTTCTCCTTTAAAAAAAAAAAGAAAAGAAAAGAAATGTTAGGCGTACTTGTAAAGGAAGTAGACTGCATTTCATCTACCTGGGCTTGGATTCTTATGAATTTCCCAAAGGTTCAACTTCCCATAATGTGTACCAATTTGTTTCCTAGAATTAGGAGCCCTGTTATAATATCTTCTGAGCAAAGGCTTTCTACTACTAAGGCTTTCCAGTATCATTTCATGCTGGTACCTGCCTTTCTGACCATTCAGAATGCATAGGTAGTGGTTATTCTTGCCAGCTGCATTACTGAGGCAACCTATTCCAAGTCTATTAGCTTGTTTTACTCACAGCTCGGTATGGATGTTTCAAAGATAGATTTCTATGAAGACTAGACAAGACTATTCACTCAGGGTAGCACAGGAAAATGCTAGGAAAGCAAGAATACCTAATTCTTCTCTTCAACACAGTCATGCTAGACCAAATTAGCCTTGGAATCTGTGTTGAATGGGAAGGCTGTTCCTCCTAAAGGCTTGTCTCTCCCTCTGCTGCCTCTTCCTGGAATGTCCTCTCCTCTAATTCCCAGGGCCTAGAGCTGGACTATAAAGATGTTCAATATATGTTGAGTTCATAAACACATAATTGTATATAAGTTAAGAACTTGGCTAAGGAGTCATCTCAAAAAGTTATCTTAGGGGGCCTCCCCGGTGGCGCAGCAGTTGAGCGCTGGGTTGCGAAGCTGCCCGCGGCCTCTGTGGCGCTGGTTCGATCCCCGGCTGCTCCCCGGCCACTGGAGGAGGGTCCTGCATGGCACGCAGACCTCTCCTGCCGCCCACTGCTCCCCTCAGCAGTGTACTTCGGTCCTTCTGCCTGTTCTGCTCCCCACTTTGGCTCTGGTGAATTCTCTCACCCTCCCGCGATTCTGACTTACCCAGTGCATGTATAAACAAACAAACAAATAAATAAATAAAACATGCCTCTATTAAAAAAAAAAGTTATCTTAGGAAAGATCTCTCTGACTCTGAGTTAGAAGTTATCTAAATGTCTTCAGTTTCCCCTCTCCAACCCACATCGCCTTAGATATAAATATTTACATTGTTATTATCCATAGAATTCCATAATCCTTACAACAAAAATCTGATATTATTTCACAACTAATAGCCTGCCACCGGAGAAGTCTTAACAATAACATAAACAGTCCATTCACACTCATTTTATATATGTATTCTATACAGTTGTTTTACAATAAAGCTCAAGAAAAGAAAATGTTACCGTGTTAAGAAAATCTTAAGAGAAAATACATTCACAGGACTGTCCCATATCAATACCATAAATTTACATCATCTATCTACAAGCAAGTCCTTGTATAAATGGATCTTTGCAGTTCAAACCCATGTTGTTCAAGGGTCAGCTGCTTAATAAAAGTTGTTAAATATTAAAGGCCTATACGATACTAGACGTAATTTCGAAAGTATTAGCTATCCCGAAGTTACCTATAAGACACATTCCTTCAGTATGATCTTTAAGCAATATGCTATGGAGTGGTGTGCCAGACAAACTACGTCCAGCTCCTAATGTCAAGGAACCTGTAGTACAGCAGGAGAGGCAGCCTGTACTGAGTTGAATACTCTAAAAAGCAGAGAATGTAAGTGAATACACTAACAGAAGCACAAAGCATTCCAAGAGACAAGCCAGGAGGAATTTCTTGAAATTTGAAAATTAATTGGCAAGATTTCAATAGCAAGGATGGGAATGTATTAATCCACCTTCAAATAAAACGAAGCCAGCTTGCTTACCCTCTCCCGGACTTTGTCCTTCAAGAGGAGGCTGATGATGGAATAGGGCACTCGGAACCATATGGGCGCTCCCACAATCAGCACTTTCTTCAGCCGTGCAGGGAAGGCACCCTGTGGAGAATACACAGGAATTTCAAGATACCAGTAGGGTACTACAACCAGTGCCCTGTGGGGGCCTGTGACTGACTACTCAAGCCCAAACTTCCGGTTTTCTACTCTTAGCCCCATTCTTACCCCTATTCTTACCCAGCAGGGGGAGTCTTCAGTGTAAGTCAGGTTTCACATCAAAAATGTGAGAACAAGTTGTTAACAGAAAAGAAATTAAAAGCTGATGGACCTTTAAAAACAATTTTATGTTCTTGTCAAATTAACCGTATGGATCAAAAAGTAGTCTAACATTCCTTATCAGCAGGTAGCCTACAAAGCGCACATATATGCATCCTTAAAATGTTTTAAAACTTTATGGTAAAATCATGAATAAATAGAACATGAATATTTCTTTCTTGATATCTGTATGTTTATAATCATTTAATTTTTATCCATTTCTTCATCTCTTTATATATTTATTTATTCGGTCAATATGATCTAGCCTGCCCAAAGAAAAGAGACATCCTGATCTGTACACAGCATAAGAATGAAAAATGATTCACTCCTAATCAGAGTCTTTGAGTTCATTTAGGCTCTCAATTATTTCAGACTTTGTAGGTAGGGATACCTGGTAATACTGGCATTTTAACGGGGAAGAATTTATTTCCTAGGAAATTTTTTAAAAAAAGAAAGAGGAAATTGTAGCTAAATATCATCTACCTTTCTTTTTCAAAAGTCTGGTTCTTGATTTGACTTGTCATTCTCTGGTTACTCCTCAGTTTGACTAACTTAGGGTCCACAAATATTCCTTAGAGAGAATACTTAGCAGCCAGTAAAAAACTCTCCTAAGGACCCTTCACTCAAGTCTAAGCAACTACCTTTCATCTCTCCCCTGAAAGATGTAATACTTTATGTCAGGGCCCAAGGCTAGATCAAAATCCAGAAATGCTGAAATTTCCATAAAGCAATAAATAGAAAGTGAAAGTCATGACCGTTTCCTCAAAACAAAGAGCTACAGACTCATGTCTAATCCATTCCTAAGACTGTACGGCAACGAAACATTCTGTTGGTGAGCCAGTTAATTTAGTAACACCTCTAGAAGGCATCTATCTGAAGTACACATCCTAAGAATGCACATATCCACTGGTCAAGTAATTCCATTTCTGAGACTATACTAAGAATATTTCTGGTTAGAAACAACAATTTAAAAACAAAATGGTAATTGCACCTTTATTTCTAACAGTTAAAAACAATACTTTAAAACTGCAAAGTATATATGCCTGGAAATGGGTAGGGGTTAACAAAAAAGGTATATCTTATATCACATAATAAGAAATTATATACCCTTTAATATGAAGATTTCAAAGATTTTTCACAACATTGGAAAATGCTCTTAATATAATAGCATTTTAACGACACAGGATGAAAATCTTAATGTGGTTTTAAAATTATATACACATACATACTTTCATAGAGAAAGATTGTAAAGAATCATATCCAAGGATAACTAAAGTCCATCTCTGTTAAGAGGTTCTATGAATCATCTTAATTTTATTTTTTCTATTTTCTATAATACTTTGTACTATTTTCATTTCTTATAATCTTATTTTAAAATATTTATATCTTTTGTTCCAATAATTTTACTTCTAGAAATCTACTTTAAGGAAACTATTTGGTGTGAAAACAAAGATTTGGATATAAAAATGTTCACTGAGAAAACCGTTTATAAAAATATGGAAAAAAGGGCCTCCCTGGTGGCACAGGGGTTGGAAAAAGCGCTATCAAGCTATCGCCAGCTAGCCACTGCAGCAAGAGTCCGATTCCCAGCAGGCCAAGGAGCTATCCACATGGCACAGCAGACCTCTCCTGTCTCACCAGCTGCTCCCCTCAGCAGTGTATTACCATTGATCTGCCTGTTGTGCTCCCCACTGTGTCTCTGGTGAATCCTCTCACCCACCCCCCACATACCTCTGGTCTACACTCTAGCTCTTGTATGCATAAATAAATAAATCTTTTTAAAAAATGGGAAAAAAGGTTCAACAACATAGAAATGATTAAATAATGATAAATACAGGAGTTATTATTAATCTATTACAAATGTTCATAAAAATAGTTTTTGGACAGATGCTGGTGAGGATGTGGAGAAAAAGGAACCCTCTTACAGTGCTAGTGGGACTGCAAACTGGTCCAACCACTATGAAAAGTTTCGTGGAGGTTCCTCAGATTACTAAAAATGGAGCTACCATGTGACCCAGCAGTTCCACTCCTAGGAATCTACCCAAAGATGACAAGAACATTAATTCAAAAGGAAACTTGCATGACTGTGTTTACTGTGCATTAATTATAATAGCTAATACATGGAAACAACCTAAATGCCCCAACAGAAAAACGGATCAAGAAGATGTGGTATATACACACAACGGAGTATTATTCAGCAATCAAAAAAGATAAATTCATGCCATTCACAGCAACGCGGGTGGAACTAGAAGGGATTGTGCTCAGTGAAATCAGTCAGGAGGAAAAAGAAAAATATCAGATTGTATGGCATTTATAGGAGGGATACAGGGAAACTGAAAGAAGGATCAAAAAAAAAAGAGAAAGACAAAACTTGCAGGTAAACTATAGATTTGAGCCATATGGCAGGGGAGGTGGCGGGGGGAAATGAGTTCAAATAGGGGAGGGAAAAGCCCAAGGGACTAGTGTGACAGTTCCTGGGTAACATGGTGGTAGGAGATTTATGGGTACTACATATGAGTGGAGAAATCAACTACTGTACAAAAATAAACAATAGGGCCTCCCTGGTGGCGCCGGGGTTAAAGACCGCTATCGAGCTATCACCAGCCACTGCAGCACAATTTCAATCCCCGGCCAGCCAGGGAGCAACCCACATGGCAAACAGACCTCTCCTGTCACGCTTGCTGCTCCCCTCAGCAGTGGATTTCAGACAGTCTGCCTGTTCTGCTCCCCACCCTCTCCGGTGAATCCTCTCAGCCCCACCCCACACCTCTGGCCTACACCCCAGTTCTTGTATGCACAAATAAATAAATCTTTAAAAAAATAAACAACAATGTAAGAAAAATAAATAAATGCCATACAAAAGATTTGGAATTATCCTGCAGTCCATGCAGAATTATACAGGTGTGCTTAAAAAACAGTAATGAAAGGAATTTGTGGTACTCTATGATCAAGAGGATTTTTAGAAGCAAATCTCTCTACAGCAATAATTTGCTAAATGACACCACATTCCTTTTCATATAGTCATTCTTTTATTAAGGTTGAGAATTATTTTCTTCTATTAATTACCGACCTTTTCTATAATATTTCACATTGACTTATAGTTGATATTTAAGCCATGTTTGAAATTGAAGCCACAATAGAGCTGTATCCTCAAAGTGAGCTGTGTTCATTAGATCTAATGCTAATGAAAAGATTGTGAGATTTTTAAACAATATTTATATTAAATTTTTTTTCAAAAAAGGAAAAAATGTAGCCCTGTTGAAGGGCTTGACATGTTGATTATATTTTTCCTAATACACATCAAAATATATGAATAAAAATAAAATCTTGCACACTTGCAAAGAAAAATAGTTACTGACACTAAATGTATACTGAAAATGTATAGACATTATTAAGATAATGAAAAATATACAGAAGTGTCATACACCAAAATGTCAATGAGTTATTTCTGCAATTTTTTAAATTATAATGGTCTGAGTTGTCCAACATTTTCCATAATGAAATTTTTCTTAATATAATAGTATTTTGGGGCCTCCCTGGTGGTACAAGGGGTTAAGAAGCAACCTATGAAGCTCTCCGCAACCACTACAGCATGAGTTCAATCCCCAGCCAGCCAGGGAGCTACCCACATGGCGCAGCAGACCTCTCCTGTCTCCCCTGCTCCTCCCGCAGCAGTGTATTTCAGCAGATCTGCCTGTTCTGCTCCCCACTCTGTCTCCGGTGAATCCTCATACTCCCCGAGCCTCTGGTCTGTACCCCAATTCTTGTATACATAAATAAATCTTTAAATATATATAACAGTATTTTAAAATATGAAAAAATTAACCACCTTATAAATAGTAATCAACACAAAAGCATAATGGTGTAAACCTCTGATTTTTTTTTTTAGAGATTTATTTATTTATTTTATACAAGAACCAGGGCACAGGCCAGAGGTGTGGGAGAGTGAGAGGACCCACCAGACACAGAGCAGGGTACACAGCGGGCAGACTGATGAAATACATTGCTGAGGGGAGCAGCAGGCGAGACAGGAGAGGTCTGCCGCGCCATGTGGGACCCTCGCAGGCCGGCCGGGATTGAACCGATACTGCAGAGGCTGCAGACAGCTTCACAGCGCTGCGCTCAACTGCCTGTGCCACCAGGGGAGGCCCTAAACCTCTGATTTATAACAGCTCTTGTACACACACACCCCACTGATAAATGTCTCTCCCTACAAGTCACAAGGTACTACAAATAGATGCTTTGTCCTTATTGTCTGTTGTGTTTTTATGTACCACACATTTTTTTTCAGTCTTGAAATAAACTTCAAAAGAAACAGACAAGACTTTATTGAAAGATGTAACAAAAGATTTTAATTTCTCAAAATTTGACTAAATGACTAAAGTTCATTTAATCAAAAAATGAGGATTTTTTTTTTAACATCCTCATCAAATTTGTAATATTGAAAAAGTGGTGTTACCACTGTGGAATGGCAATAGGATAACTCAGGGAAGGAGTCGGAAACTAGTTGATGTGCAAGGAATTGCAGTTAAAAACTGCTTTCCTAAAAAAAAAAAAAATTAAAAAAATTTAAAAAAAAATAAAAACTGCTTTCCTAATTAAAAAAAATATTAAAAAGTTCATTTTTAATATGCATGTTATATGTCAGTAAAAATTTAAGTAAAAACACACAAAAGTGCACGTAAAAGGATAAAAGTGCAAAAGATAGTCAAAACTTTTAGAAATGAAAGTTGTTTCAAAATAAAACTACAGGGAAGTTTGTCCTATAGGATATTAAATTTTACTAT